CTTTGTTCCCTGCGTTCCTGAACAATTTGAGCCCTGCGTTCCTGAACAATTTGAACCATTTGAGCCCTGCGTTCCTGAACAATTTGAACCATTTGAGCCCTGCGTTCCTGAACAATTTGAACCCTTCTGCTTGAGCTCCTGAGTCAAAATTCGCAAATAATTGGTATGTAATGTTTCACGGTAGATATAAAAAAAAAGTTACAAATGTTTACCCACCGTTCAACCGGTGGCTAGGCATTAAGTCATTTTTCTCTACCACTATTCAACCGGTGCCTGGGCCTTACGTCAATTTTCTCTACCACCGGTAAAGCGGTGGTCAGGGATCAAAATGTTAAGATCTAAATCCGGCCCTGAATACAATCTCTTTCCATGCAAGTTGTATTTGCAAATATCATTGTTTTATTATTGTTTTATTTGATTATCTTTTTATAGACATGGAGGCGGGGCAAAATCCGTAAACTATTAGCCCAGGTTTTTTTTTAACCCTTTGAACCCAGCGTTCCTGAACAATTTGAACCTTTCTGCCTGAGCTCCTGAGTCAAAACTTACAAATCATTCGTATGTAATGCTTCATAGTAGATTAAGAATAGTTACAAGTGTTTACCCCCCGTTCAACCGGTGGCTGGGTATTAAGTCATTTTTCTCTACCACCGTTCAACCGGTGCCTGGGCCTTACGTCATTTTCTCTACCACCGGTAAAGCGGTGGTCAGGGATCAAAGTGTTAAGATCTAAATCCGACCCCGAATACAATCTCTTTCCATGCAAGTTGTATTTGCAAATATCATTGTTTTATTATTGTTTTATTTGATTATCTTTTTATAGACATGGAGGCGGGGCAAAATCCGTAAACTATTAGCCCAGGTTTTTTTTTAACCCTTTGAACCCAGCGTTCCTGAACAATTTGAACCTTTCTGCCTGAGCTCCTGAGTCAAAATTTACAAATCATTCGTATGTAATGCTTCATAGTAGATATAAAAATAGTTACAAGTGTTTACCCACTGTTCAATCGGTGGCTGAGCATACGTCATTTTCTCTACCACCGGTAAAGCGGGAATCAGGACTTAAAGGGTTAATAATACTAACTGGATGGCAATGCATAGCAATATTTAAGCTGGATAAACAAAATAAGGTAATTACTCAGAGAAAGCAGACCATTATATATTAATAAATTATGTCTATTTCCAATATATTTGACCGTTACTCTTGGAGATTTATTTTGACCGCTTTTGATTCGTTTTTTTCTTTTTCTATTATTGGCCAAAGATTTTCCATGTATCCCGTTGAAAATCATTTGGCTCAACTCGAAATCCTGTTCAAATTTTATTGAATGTATAAACAGTAATTTCAGTTTTATTGTAGTATATGTTTAGATCCTAGAATCCGGATAGTAATACTGGTTAATGTGACGCTTTTGCGTTTGGAATTAATTTCCCAGTTTTTCTGTTCGTGTCACAGAGGAAAATGTCGGAACAATTTTTAAAATACTCAGGATTTCTGATAAAAAAAAATGGCATATTTAAAGACATATGCAAAGAAAGAGAGGAAATATTTTATGCATAACAAAAAAAAATCGCAATAAAGTGTCGAATCAGTGAAAGAAAGAAGGTTTTAAAAAGAAGCCAAGAAACTTGATAGAAACGGTTTCTCTTGACGTCATATCCGGTCCAGGCAAGACAATATATAAGACTTCGTTCAATCATGTTAAAATGTTTTATGCACATACATTAAAAAAAAGTTACAATAAAAAATCATTATTCTGAAAGTTAAGTTTTTGAGGAGTAATCGAGTAAAAATATTCTGAGACATTCCTTGTTTTGTCGTATGTAGAACATTATATATATATATATATATATATATATATATATATATATATATATATATATATATACATATACATACAATCTAATTTCACGTTGTGTGTGCATGTGCGAAAAGTCGAACATACATTTATATACATGCATATATAGCTGTAAATATATATATATATATATATATATATATATATATATAAATCTAATTTCACGTTGTGTGTGCATGTGCGAAAAGTCGAACATACATTTATATACATGCATATATAGCTGTAAATATATATATATATATATATATATATATATATATATATATATATATAAATATAATTTCACGTTGTGTGTGCATGTGCGAAAAGCTGAACATACATTCATATACATGCATATATAGTTGTAAATATATATATATATATGTATATATATATACATGTGTGTTGTGTATTTCGGCAGCAATCCTTCATTTATACATGTTTTATTAAAAACGACACGCAAGGTACTACGATTAAGCTTTTTTATTTCATTTTTCTTGCGTTCGAACAAGTGCTTTGTTTTTTGGGACAGAGTGGGTAGAAACTGTACAGGTGTACTATAATTTCATTTGGACAGTTTCTACACACTCCGTTTCCAAATTGTTGTCGACAATGGCTCTCCACTACTTCCTGTCTATTATAATTCTCAGCAACGTTTTAGTATTTACTATCTGTTCTTGGATATATATCTTTCATAAAATCTTTAATAAAAATAGTTTACATTATTACAATAATATTATTTATTATTATATAGTTTCCTTTTCAAGGCCACCTCCCCCATTCAAATTGTTAACCGCTCCCCTCAATTGCACCCGAATTTTGTTATTAATATTAATTTTTGGGTGGGCTGACTTTAAACTTAAACTGTTCCGATTAAACGGTAAAAATTCCAGTAATGAAAGACCCGGTCAAAGATGGGTTTACTAGTATATATATATATATATATATATATATATATATATATATATATATATATGACGTCATACATTATGAAATGGACAAAGTTTGATTAATTATTTAAAGTTATTTTATGTTTAACATTCTTTTTTTTTTTTAGATTATTTTTAGTAAATGCTCTGTTTATAATAAACAGTATTAAATAACATTTACCGGCCTGAATGTCTGAGAAATTTTCATAGAAAATATTCGTTCGAATCCTGTCAAAGGACGGATATTTTCTATGAA